GTCAAGTTTGTGTTTCCGTTGAGTGCGAGTAAGGGATATGTCGTCAAAGGAGACGTTAGCCTAGAGAGCTTCATCAGCTGAGAAACCTCCTCCTCCTCCTCCTCCTCCTGCCCCTGCCCCTGCCCCTGCCCCTGCCCCTGCCCCTGCCCCTGCCCCTGCTGCTGCCCCTGCTGCTGCTGCCCCTCCTCCCTCCTCCTCTGGTGTTCATCATCACCTGAGCCTGCTTACATGTCAGTCCGCCAGGAGCCCCATCACAAGAATGACCTGATGCATTTCGGAGGAGTCGGAGGGAACAATCTCCATCCTACAGTCCCGCAGGAAGATTTCGAGCTCCTCGGGGACGCGCGAGATGAACTTCTTCGCAACAAGGTTCAGCCGATCCACCCCAGCGACATCCATCGAGTCATCGGCAGGGGGAGAGTTGAGAGAAGGAGGGAGAGAGTTCAAGGGAGGAGAGTTGAGAGAGGTCGAGTTGAAGTCATTGCCCAGCTCAAGCGTGAAGGAGTTCAGCTTGATCGAGTCTGAGTTGTCCTCCCGCTTCTTCACCGGCGACGTGACCCTCCCCTCCTCCTCCTGCCTCCTCCTCCCATGCAGTGCCGTCAGGTTGCTCTGCAGCTTGTTGGGCCGAAGGCTCATGGCGGATCGGATGGTGTGCACGGCTGACCGGATGTCGTTGAGCGCCTGCAAAGCCAGGTCATCCTCCTCCTCCCCCTCGCATGCCCACCAGCTTCTCCTTCTCGTGCGACTGCGACGCCCCGCGCTTTGACGTCGAGCTGCTGGTCCATGATACCACCTGAAGCATGGCTGTCAGGAGAATGGGCGGGGAGGAAAGAGGTGAGAGGAGAGGAGAGGAGAGGAGAGGAGAGGAGAGGAGAGGAGAGGAGAGGAGAGGAGAGGAGAGGAGAGGAGAGGAGAGGAGAGGAGAGGAGAGGAGAGGAGAGGAGAGGAGAGGAGAGGAGAGGAGAGGAGAGGAGAGGAGAGGAGAGGAGGAGAAGAGGAGGGAAGCATTTTCCAGACCTTGAAGACCTCGCGCACGATCACTCCGATGTCTCTGCCAATGCTCTGAACCCCCGCGAGGTCGGCGATGAAGTTTGCGATGTCAGTCACTAGCCCATGGTCCACCTGTCGTACTCTTAGGTCCCCTCCCCTCCCCTCCCCTCTTCCCCGCCGCCACCACTCCTCTCTCTTCCTTCCCTCCTCTCCTTCCCTCATCCTCGTCCTCCTCGTCCTCCTCTCTCTACTTCTTCCCTCCCCTCCTGTCCTGTCCACCCTCTTCCCCTCCTCCCCTCTCCCGTCCTCTCCCCCCTCCTCATATCTCTTGACCTGCATCCGCAGCCCCTGCACGTGCACCACAACCTTCTCCCACCCCTGCGCCGAATAAGAACGGGGGGAAGCGAGCGAGCAAGTAGAGGAGGAAGACGCAATCGTTTCAGGAACGAAGCACGAGGAAGACAGGGAGAGAGGGGAGGGGGGGGAGGACGGGGGTGGGGGGGGGGGGGGGGGGGAGGAAGGGAGAGGAGTGGTGGCGGGGGGGAAGAGGGGAGGGGAGGGAGGGGGGCGTGTGGGGGAGAGAGAGCTTGGAGGCGGTGGGCTTACGAGTGTCGGAGGAACGAATCTCTTCTTGAGAATCTCATCGAGCTCGGCCCTCTGGAAGGTGACGACGGCAAGTGGGTCGTTCTGTCAAACACCATGAGGGCGATTCTGTGTATGAGAGAGAGAGAGTTGATTCTCCGAGGCAGAGGAAAGCAGGATGAGGGAGAATGAGGAATGTAGGATGAGGGAGGAGGGGGCGATGCTCACTGTTTCCGCTTGCCATATGACTCGTTTCCCCCGGCTGACTAAGTTCGTTACTGGGATCGTGACATCCAGCTGGGTGAGAACGTCCTTGATGAGCTGAAAGTTGGCCTCTCCTTTAGCAGTGAGCCTGATCCACGCGTTCTCCGATCCCCCTCCTCCCCCCCCCCCTCCTCCTCCTCCTGTCCCACCACCTTTCTGCACGTCCTCTAGGCTTGATATGCCGGAGCCGACAACAAAGAGGCTGGCGCTACCTACAGCCAGGTTGACGGTGATAACAGGAGGCTTGACCAACTCTGGCTCGCTCTTGCTTGCTGCCATCGCCTCCTCCTTCTCTGACGCTCTTCCTGCCTGCCCCAAGGTGTTGAGCGTGCTCATGGCGGGCTGGTAGCGCTGAGAGAGGCCGAGGAGGAGGCGATGCAGGTGCTTGCTGTGGATGGAGAGACCGACATCTCTGACATTGAAGGGGAGGATGATGGCGCGTACTTGCCCTTCGTTGAGACTTCCGGCGATGCCCTCGACCTCCATCCTTCCTCGGAACTCGATCCGATGGATCCACACTAGGGCATAGATGTCCGGACCCAAAACCTGCCCGGCGATCAGCAGGTTGAGTGTATCGCAAGGAGATGCAGGGGAGCAGAGAAATGGCGACGCAGACGCAAAGGGAAGGAGTGAGGGAGGAAGAAAGGGAAGGTAGGGAGGGAGGAAAGAACCTTTCTCGCACTGTTCGTGCTTGAAACAGGCACGGAAAACGTCGGGTCATCACAGTAGAGTCCACACTCAGGTACGATTGACTCGCAGGAGATGACGTTGACTAGCCCGTCGTCCTTATGAGTGTTGTTACCTTCGCAGATTACCATGAGCTAGCGACAGGGTCAGCAGGAGGAAGAGACGGTTGACCTGCCTGACCTGATTGACATGGAGGTAAAGGTGAACATCTTTCCCATCCTCTGCCGGGATCTCGACGGAGATCATCGGGTGAATGATTCTGATGTCGAACCGAAACCTCAACTGCACAACACGGGCAGCAGCATCAGTCTTGAGTGATGGAGTCGAGTTTGTTTCCTCACCACCAGGATCGAAGGAGTTTCAAAGTGTTGCTCCCCATCTTGAACGAGACTGTCTCCTCCGTTACTTTCTTTCTCTCCGCCTCTCCTCACCCGCCCAAATCGTCGCCCCCCTTTCCTGCCTCTTTCCTCACCTCTTGTCAAACAAGCTCATGGAAGGCTGGCGGCGATGCGGACTTCCTGACTCGTCTGGGACCGGAACAGACTCCAGCGCAAGCCCCATGGCCACCAGCGTCTGAATGCACATGGCGTAGTCGACGAACCCCTCGACCATGCTGACCTGCAATGATCGCACGAAGAGATCACGAGGAGAGAAGATAGAGAAGAGATGATGAAGGCGTGTGAAACAGCGAGAGCGAGTAAAGATCTTTGAGCGATAGATGAAGATGACCCAAACCTTGAGAGAGTCAATGAAGGCGAAGACAGAATGCTCGAGGATCGGTTCGGGTGGTCGAAAGTCTGAGAACATCATGGTACAGCTCTAAAGAGGAAGAGATCAGCATCAGCATCAGCATCAGCATCAGCTATGAGAGATATCATTTCACCTTCCACTCAAAGCGCAGAAACTTCCGTTTTCTCCCGTACACTTTCACCTGGTAGGATGGTTATCTGGGCGGCCCGGCTCGTGTCTCCCTCACCGACGCCAACTCTTCTGCCTCCTCTGCTCGAAGGGGATGAACGATCCAGAACTTGACCTCAGGGATCTGACCCGACAGGCGTCAGAAGCGTCTCCTTGCAAGCACAGAGACCTGGAGCTCCTGCAGGTCCTCTTCATCGGTTGATGTTCTCCATGGAGCTTGGAGGTAGAGGCAGCAAGGATCCGCTAGATCGAACAAGGAGAACGCTCCGATCTCAACCTGTACATCACGGAAACCCAAGAAACATGTGAGGGTCAGCCAATAGACAGCTGACTTGCAGGTCATGCCTGAGTTGTCTTCTCATAGTCGCTGGGGCCAACGACATAGCCCATAGCCAAGTTGTTCACTGACAGAGCAAGACCTCGCCGAAGATGGGGGGCAGAGACAGACGGCCCATCAAGAATGGCAGAGATAACGAGCTCGGGGATATCCATCTGCCACCAGAAGAAGATCACAAGGTCGAACCAAGAGGACCCGCTAGATTCCCACAACCTTGAAGACGAACGTGTCGCGCGTGAACTGACCGTACTTGAACGGATCGAATGGAATGTCAGTCCGTGAGAAAGCAGAGAAGACTCCCTTGAAGCTCTCTGCTCCCAAGGTCAAACGCAGCCCATGTTCCTCGTCCGAAGTCACCTCCGACATGAAGCAGGTCTTCCCCGTCAAGGTGGCAGATGAGAGGTTCAGTGCTCGTGATCTCAATGGAGCTGCAAACACATGTCAAGATCCTTCACCCGATGCACACACCAACCTCATCTTGTCGAGCGTAACATCCTCCCCCTTGGCGTTCTGCCACTTGGGCTCGAACAAGTTGACATACTCGAATTGGAAGCTACATCCTTCGAAGACAGAGACCTCGGGAAACCACGGGTTCGAAGGTGTGAGGTTCACAGATAGGAAACAACTTCCCTTCTTGAACACGTACACCTCATCATCCAAAAATTTTGAGTACGCGCGAGCTCGCTTCAAATCACAGATGTTCCCATTCTCGTCCGTGCTGTACAAGTCTAAATCTCTCACAAAGACGTTGATGGTCGGCGGAGCAGTCAAGTTGATGCCGGGAGATTCTGCCTTCGACTCTCCGAGTGTTGAGATCTCCAAGTGGATCTCTTTGATCTTCCAGTGAATCCCGTGCCAAATCTTTTGCATCAGGGTGTAGTTCTTCTTCACCCGCTTCCTCCATGTGCCGTTCCTGGTCTCATGGAACTGGTTGGTGCAGTGCTTGTCGCTCTCCCTCGTCACACTCTTCTTCTCTCCCTCACGAGACGAGCTTCCTGAACCTGCTCCTGCAGGCTGCGCCGGCTCCCCCTGGCTCCATGCATCGCCTGTCTCGGGGCAGACGTCGTAAGGGACGATGTTGGCAGGCTCTTTGATCTCCAGATGTATCCGTCCTATCTCCACAGACATGGGCTCAGACTTCATGCTCTGTATGCGAGCATGGATGATGATGTAGTCGATGCGGCCACTTGTTATCACAAACGGCAAGCCAGGGATGAGCTTTGCTAGCCACGTGGGATCCACCCTGAGATCCTTGAGGATCATCTGCTGCCCGCTCCCCAGCGAGAACTTGAACTTGGTGTTCTTCCGGGGATTGAAGTCAAGCAGGATGGCTCCTAGGTGCTTCTGGAGCATCCTTCCCAGCAGAGCCTCCATCTCCAAACTTTGCTCTCAATTCCCTCAGACAGTACAGTTTAGCATGAGATCGTGACGTTCACTGCTAGGAGCAGAAGTTTGATCATACAGCATTAGACCTCGATCACACTGCAAGCTCGTCAAGCTCCCCAACAGCAGCAAGGTCCGACAACAACCATGTCAAGTTTTGAGCTGATGTGGAACGATGTGCGGAGTATTTCGTTAGAAGTGAAAGTCTGACTGGAACGAACGAACCCCAAGAACGCGAGGCAATAATCACAGAGATCGCTTCTAAATGCAGAAGACGCGATGAACAGAAATCGCAAGGCAAATGGTCCACGGTCCCTGTGCCGTGAGGAAGGAAGAAAGGGGAAGAGGGGAGATGTTCTGAGGTTCAGAGAGGAAGTGAGCGGAGGAGGGGGGGGGAGGACGAGGGAGGATGGCAGGGGGAGGAGGGAGGATGGCAGGGAGAGGAGAGGAGGAGGGAGGATGGCGGGGGGGAGGAGAGGAAGGTAGCGATGAGGAGGCGCTACGGCAATGGGTTTGGGATCGCCATGGTGCGAAGCTGGAGGCGCTAGAATATTGGGGATGCACACAAGGGTGGGGTGAGCTCTACCCCACCTTGCAAGGGAAATTTTCCAATGAGATCCTTCATTTTGGGGGTAGGGTGAAGAGGAGGAGTAGGAATTGGAGGGTGGGTAGTTAGAGTGAACCCAAAGCAATGAGGCGGGTTCGTTTTGAAATAACGGAACGCAACGTCGACGCAACGTGAAACGGTTTGTTGGTTATATTCCGTTGCAAGACGTTATTACCGTTGCAATTCAAAGCAAACGACCAACCGCCAACGGATCAAGGACCCCAACCCTCTAGCCCCTACCCCTACCCCTACCCCTACCCCTACCCCTACCCTCATTTTATTTATTATCCACCCCTACGAGACAATTCAGAACGAGGCCCGCATTATGACCCGCCCTCAGTCATACAGAGCAAAAACATGCATATAGTACCCGGTCATTTTGGCTTGAAGCTCCCACCCACCCCTCCATCTGACTACCTTCCCCTGGTAAGAACCCACCGGGATTTGAAAACCCACCCTCCAACCACATCCACCCCCATCGTGAGACTCACCACCCCCCTCCGGTCGTCTCCTGACAGCCGCCATGGAGCATCTTGAGCTCAATGCTGTGATTGGCTTCGCAGGTAAGCGACTCTCCTCCTCCTCCTCCTCCTCCGTCCTCCTCCTCCTCCTCCTCCTCCTCCTCCTCCTCCTCCTCCTCCTCCTCCAGGAGGAAGGGCGGAAGGAGCGAAGGGAGGGAGGAGTGGAGCTGAATCAGGAGGAGGAGGAGGAGGAGGACCCGCTTCAAGCTCCCTCCCTGACTGCGGGTCCACTCATCAGCTTACCTCTGCTATCGCGAATCTCTTCCCCTTTCCCTTCCTCTGCTTCTCCTTTGTTGTTCCCGTCGTATTCATCAAGTTTTACGTGTATCTGCATTTCTTGGTGCTTTTCTGGTTTTTTTCTCCGTTTTCTATGGGATCCTGTGTGAAATGCTGTCGTCGCCCATTCACTATCACCTGGATGCTCTTGCATCTGCAACTCCAATCTCATTGATTCACTCTGTTTTCTCCACCATCATATGCCAAAATTTCCTTGACGACGTGCTTCTGGTTGTTGAATTCAGCTGATGAGCTCTGACTCGCAGGCACTATAGTGGATGGCATCATACTGCTGCCTGACAACCGGAGCATGGTCTTCGCGTTGGGGTCTACCATCATCAAGCGCGACATCGTAGACCCTAAGAATCAACAATTCCTGCAAGGACATAGTGACAGGGTGACGTGCATGGCCCTGTCGCCGTCCGGCAAGTACCTGGCGTCCGGTCAGGTCACCCACCTGGGCTTTCAGGTGGCTGGAGCGGGATGAATCGGAGGGGTCTGACTGGTTGAGCTCAGGCCGACGTGATCGTCTGGGACATGGAGAGCTTGGAAATCGTCCACAGGCTTCGCCTTCACAAGGTCTGCGCCCTCCTCCTTCCCCGCCTCCTTGACCCGCCTGCAGGTTCGCGTGGAGGCCTTGGCGTTCTCGTGCAATAGCAAGTGGCTGGCGACTGTGGGAGGAGAGGACGACAACAGCCTGGTGGTCTGGAACCTTGAGACCGGGAAGGCGGTTTGCGGATCCCCAGCAGCCAACCATCCGTGTCGGACTGTGAAGTTTGCGAAGCACGACGAGTTTCTGCTCATCACGGCCGGGGAGGGGAACCTGCGCGTGTGGGACTTCGACCTGGCGAACCGCAAGATCAGACCCACCGACTGCAACCTCGGCAAGCTGCAGCGATCAGTGAACTACATCTACGTCGACGATCACGATGAGTACATGTACGCCGGGACGACGACCGGAGACGTGCTGAAGGTGAACCTGAGGACGAAGTTGTTCAAGCACGTCGGCCCCAAGTCGAGGCTGAGCCAAGGAGCAAGCTGCATCAACATGACGCCCGACGGAGACCTGCTGGTGGGCAGCGGCGACGGGACGATCGCGACCCTGGACGCCGAGACCCTCAAGCTGAAACAGACGACGACGATCGACGGAGGAGCCATAACCTGCATCGCTCCGCACGTGTCCAAGCAGGTGAGAGAGGAAGGGGAAGGGGCGAGTGATGTAAGAGATAGAGAGGGAGGGAGAGAGGGAGATGGAGGGAGAGAGTCAGAGTCAGAGAGAGGGACGGAGGGAGTGAAGGAATCTTTGTGTTGAGATGTAGAGTATGACGGGTGTTCACGGCTCTTGTTTCCTTTGCTCTCATCATGCGACTGACTTGTCTCTCAGCTCTTCTTCGTCGCCACATCTCTCTGCTCCACCTTTGTCGTCAAGTACGAGGGCCTCCAAGCCGAGCTGAGGTCCACCTGCCACTCGTCCAAGATCCACGACGTGGTCTATCCCTTCGGCTACTCGGAGCTCTTCGCCACCTGCTCCCACCAGGACATCCGCGTGTGGAACGCGCGCACGTGCGCGGAGCTACTGAGGATTCAGATCCCCAACCTCGAGTGCAACTGCGTCTGCTTCGCGCGGGACGGCAAGGCGATCCTGAGCGGCTGGTCGGACGGGAAGATCAGAGCCTTCGGGCCGCAGTCGGGCAAGCTGCTGTTCGTGATCAACGACGCGCACGTGGGAGGAGTGACGGCGATCGCCTGCGCCAACGACCCGCAGAGGATCGTGAGCGGAGGGTTCGACGGGTCTGTGAGGGTGTGGAGGATCACGGCAGAGAGCCGGGTGATGATCGGGTCGATGAAGGAGCACAAGGCGACTGTGAACTGCATCAAGGTGCGAGGAAACGACCTTGAGTTCGTTAGCGCGAGCTCGGACGGCTCCTGCATCATCTGGGACATGAGGAGATTCGTGCGGAACAACTCGCTGTTCGCGTCCACCTTCTTCAAGGCCGTCCTCTACCACCCCGACGAGTCTCAGCTGCTCACCACAGGGACCGACAGGAAGATCACCAACTGGGACGCGTATGATGGCAGCGCCATCCGCATCGTCGACGGGTCAACGTCGGCGGAGGTGAACACGCTGGACATCGCGGGGTCGGGGAGTTCTTTGTGAGCGGAGGAGGCGACAAGATCCTCAAGCTGTGGCACTACGACGAGGGTCAGTGCCAGGCCGTGGGCATCGGACACAGCGGGGCCATCACGCGAGTCGCCGTGTCGCCGGACCAGAGGAACCTTGTGTCAGTCGGAGACGAAGGAGCCATCCTCATCTGGAATATCCCTCCTCGCTTCTCCTCCTCCTGATGTTCAATATGTAAAGTGCTAACTCTACCTGCCTCCTCCTCCTCCTCCTCCTCCTCCTCCTCCCTCTCATGCTTCCGTTGGGTCCCATGCGGCTCCTCTCACGTCCTCCTTCCAAACAAGTTTGAGCTCTCGAGGAGGACGAGAACTCTCACCTTGCTCCAGCCGTCTGTCCTGCCGAGAGCACCGGACGCGAGCCTGAGAAGGGGTGAGGAAGAGGCAGGAAGAGGCAGGAGGAGGAGGGAGGAGGAGGAGGAGGAGGAGGAAGAGGAGGAGGAGGAGGAGGAGGAGGGGGAGGAGGAGGAGGAGGGAAAGGATAATGTGGAGGAGGAGGGAGCGATCACATCTCGTCGAGGCTGTCGAGCTGCAAGTAACAGTGAGGGCGAGAAAGGAAAGAGAGAGGATGAGAGAACGAGCAAACGAGGATAGCAGCAGTAAGGAGCAAGGAGCAAGGAGCAAGGAGCTTTCCATTGACCTGCTTCAATTCTTGATCTGTCAGCTTGATCGCAGCGACTCCTCCGGGTGAATTTTCTTTGATCGCAATCACCTCCTTCTCCGTCTCAGTCCCTGTTCCTGGTCAGCCTACTGTCTCCTCCTCCTCCTCCTCCTCCTCCTCCTCCCCCTCCTCAGCAGCGGCAGCGGCAGCGGCAGCAGCATTAGTGCCTGAGCGGGGGATGCAGAGGAGGCCACGATGGAGGGACCAAGCAATGAGAGTCTGCGAGATCATGAGAAGGAGCGCGAAGAGGAAAGAAGAAGAGAGAGAGAGGACATAGGATGCGAGGGCGATGGCATGAAGCGAACGGGAGGAGCAGCAGCAGGAGGAGCAGCAGCAGGTTTGCCTGTGCAGCTGTGATGCCCTTTGACTTGGCGATTTCCTTGAGTTTCGGCCAGTTCCTGCACCCGATGATCAATCAAGCTCCAGCCCTCTCCTCTTCTCGCCAAATTCCTGCTGCTGCTGCTTCTGCTTCTGCTGCTGCTTCTGCTGCTGCTGCTGCTGCTACTCCTCTTCCTCCTCCTCTCTTACTTCGCTCCCGTCTCCTTGTTCGACAGTCTGGACCAGGAGGAGCTCATGACCTAAGAGGGTTCAACTTCCTCCTCCCCTCCCCGCAGCCTCACCGCACAGCCGTTGGCCTCACACCAGCTCACGATCTGCCTCCTCTGGTTGAAGGGACTGACTTCGATCTGCCTCCTCCTCGTCAGCCTCCTCCTCTCCCTCTCCCTCTCCCTCTCCCTCCTCTCCAGCTCCCTCCTCTCCCCCTCCCTGCTCCCTCTTCCTCTCCCTCTCCTTCCTCTCCCTGCTCCCGCTCCCTCCTCTCCAGACTCCTCCTCCCTGTCATAAGCCAACTTGACCTGGTTAATGGACGGAACAGGCAGATTCTCCTTTCGCAGCTCCTCCAGCTGCTTTACCTGCTCCCTACCTCACTCTCTTCCCCTGCTCTCACGCCTCCCTTGCCCCTTTCCATCCTCCTCCTCCTCCTCCTCCTCCCTCCCCTCCTCCTCCTCCCTCCCCTCATCACCCCAAAGTTGGAGACGCCGACAGCCCGGACAAGCTTCTCCTCCTTAAGCTCCTGAAGCTCCGACCAAGACTCGAGAATGACCTGCAGGGGAAGGATTAGGGAGGAGGGAAGAGGTAAGAGGAGGGTGGGGGAGAGGGAGGAGGGAGGAAAGGAGAGAACCTGCTTGGAGGACAGAGGAGAGTGGATGTAGAACACATCGAGGTAGTCGGTGCCGAGGTCTTGGAGGCTGTGCAGCAGGGCTTCTCTTACTTTCCCCTGCTCTGCCAGTGAGCGAAGACGGAGGGAGGGAGAGGGACAACTTTTCCGAGCTGCTGCCTGTCAAGCTTGCTCGAGAGAAAGATCTCGCTCCTCGACAGACCAGACGATCTCCACGCCTGTCAGTCAGTAAGCGATGAGTGAGAGCAGCACAACGAGAGACAGTGAGGATGAGAAGAAAGAGAGCAGGAGCAGGAGCACGAGCAGGAGGAGAAGACACAAGAAGGAGGAGGGGGAGGACGAGGACGAGGACGAGGAGCAGGACGAGGACGAGGACGAGGAGCAGGACGAGGAGCAGGACTAGGAGGTGGTGGTGGACGAGGAGGACGAGGAGGACGAGGAGGACGAGGAGGACGAGGAGGACGAGGAGGAGGAGAGCGGGAGAAAGGGAGAGGGAGAGGGGGGGGGAATGAAAGCGCAGGAGCTCGAGAGAACAACGGGGATGGAGCAGTGACCTTGCCGATGTCTTGTTCGTTGCCGTATGCTGCTGCTGTATCGATGTGCCGAACTCCTTGCGACAAGGCAATCTCGACCGCCTGCATGGCGATGCCCTGCCAAGTCTCAGCGGGGAAGGAGGAGGGAGAGGAGACGCGAGGAGGAGGAGGAGGAGGAGGAGGAGGAGGAGGAGGAGGAGGAGGACGACGACGAGGAGGAGGAGGAGGAGGACGAGGACGAGGAGGACGACGACGATGACGACGAGAACGAGGAGGAGGAGGACGAGGAGGCAACAGCTCGGGGACAAGAAGTAGAGTAGGATCGTACTCACTTGCTTCGTGTTGTAGGTGCCGAACCCCACGGCAGGAAGTTTCACCCCTCCCACATCCTTGCTTCCCTGCGCTGCCAGCAGCTCGGGCCATCTCATATCGACAGCATGAGCAGCGTCTGTAAGAGTGAGGAGAGGACTGGAGCGCATGACGACTCTTACCTTGCGGGAGGGGGAGGAGAGGAGAGGCTCCTGTTCGCTCGTAAGCTCAAACGTCATCTCCTCCTCCTATCACCGAGTAGAACTCCAGCCTGCAGGAACTGACGCCGAGAGGTGTCATGCATTCGCATGCAGAGAGTATTGCTGCTCGTCCTACATTGGCCGATCATGGCAGCGGCATGTGGAGAGAGGGAAAGTACCTCCTCCTCCGGGAAAAGAGCGATTGTGAGTTGAGATAACCAAGGCATGCAGGAAGAATCGAAAGCAGACAGACCACTGCGACCCACCTCGCCATCTGCTGCAGCATGAGAGAAACAAACATCGAGACGTGCGAGGGAAGAGAAGTAATCCTCCCGCTTTCCTGATCCTACGCGCCCTCCCTCCTTCGATCCTGCTCCTGCAGCTTCCGCCCTTGCTCCTCCTCCTCTGTCCTCTCTTCCTCCTCTCATCTCTTCATTTCTTTCCGCTCCTGATACTATCCTCTCCTCCTCTCCTCCTCTCCTCCTCTCCTCCTCTCCTCCTCTCCTCCTCTCCTCCTCTCCTCCTCTCTCCTCCTTCTGTTCTCCATCTTCCCTCTGCTCATTGACAGGATCCGGTACTGTGGATTTTACATGTAGCTTTTCAAGCTCACCTCACTGACTTATTATACATGATAGAAAGACAGCAACTTGTATTAAGAACAAAGTCTCTTTCACTGTTTCGTTGCTGCCAGAAAGTCTCGACCCTCCACCCTTTCCCTTCCTCGTCCTTGCCTCCCTCCCTCTGCCCTCCCTCCCTCTGCCCTCCCTCCCTCTGCCCTCCCTCCCTCTGCCCTCCCTCCCTCCCCCTCTCCCCGCATGGCGCTCTCATCAGTCGCCGTGTCCTCAGCAGCTCTGGAGGTGAGCATGCCGTGCTGCTGGTTTCGTTGAGCATGCACAGGTTTGCCTCGCCCATGCGCTGTCGACAGAGAGCGAGGAGATCATGGGGCTCCTGCTGGGAGACGTGACTCACGTCTCTGCTCCTGCACACGCTGACTCCTCCCCTGCAGCTGGTTCAGCTCGACAACGACGAGCTCATGGCTCGCGTCTGGTCGGTCTCACTACAGAGGAGGGAGCAGGCGGCACGGTCGGATGATCGCGTTGAGATCAGCCCCGAGCAGCTGGCTGCCGGTACTGCCATGCAGCCTGTTGAGTGAGCTAACTTGTCGGTCAGCGACTGAGGAGGCCGAGCGGTTGGGGGAGCACCTCGGGAGGCCAACTCGAGTTGTCGGATGGTGCGAGGAGCGGGAAGGACGATCTCCCTCACAACCCTGGCAGGTATCACTCCCATCCTCACCTCGCCGTCGTCCCCTCGCACGTGGACGTCTCCACGCAGGCCATGTACCAGCAGATGGACACGGGCTTCATCGGGCTCATCTTCTCAGTCTTCAACAGCGGGCGAGTTGTTCCGGGGGTGCCGACAGGGAATCAAGTTTACATCCAAGACGAAGTTCGCTACCTCGTCTCCATGGGGAACCTCGACGACTGCGGGAGAGTGCAGGTACGAGAAGAGGGTGACACGGGGAGGAGAGGGGTAGGCGACGGGGAGGCGACAGGGGGGGACAGGGGGGGGACGGGGAGGAGACGGGGAGGAGACTGGGAGGAGGACTGTATGGGAACGAGAGAGGAGGAGGACGAGGGACGAAGATCCAGTAGTGGCGATTGTGGTGGGACTGATCGACTTATAAGGTGACGGCGTTCCAGTCGACGGGAGTGGATGCGGATGGAGAATTTATTCCTGCAAACCGCCCGCAGTCCATCTCCAACAGGTTTGCCTCGATGGCCAGGGCATGAGAGAGGCAGTGGTAGGAGACGAGACGAGACGAGACGAGACGAGACGAGACGAGACGAGACGAGACGAGACGAGACGAGACGAGACGAGACGAGACGAGACGAGACGAGACGAGACGAGACGAGACGAGACGAGACGAGACGAGACGAGACGAGACGAGATGATGATGTGTGGAAGATAGAAGAGAGGAGGAGGAGAGATGATGAGAGGGCGTGCATGAAGCTCCTGCAGGAGGCCGGGAGAGTCAGTTGAAAGAGAGAAGTCGGTGTCTGTTGCGAAAAGTTACATCCAGAAAGAGGTGAGGCCGTAGAACCTCCCGGTTTGAAGACTCTGATGGCTTTCAAGGTCCCCATCACAATCATCCCGTCAGGAAAATTCTTCGATTCATCCCCAGCAATTTCTTGTCTGGACAAGCTCTCTCTCCTGCAAAACGTGATGGAGTTGAATGAGTGCCATGACATCTGACGGCGAGGTGCTGGTCCAGATCCTGAGGGAGGAAGAGAAACACGCGTACGAGAAGTCGCTCAAGAGCGACGGTCAAGGTTCGACATCGTGTAGACACGCAGTCACGTTGACGTTTCCAGCAGAGCCTTGTCACCTCCTGACGCAACTGCACAACTCAGCAGTCTATCAGAAGGGGCTGTGCAGGTCGACACTTGACTTCTCCTGCCGTCCTCCTTAACCTTTGCAGGATCATCGAGACCTGTCAGCTACCCCTGCTGTCAGCGTTGGAAGCTGAGATTCAATCGGCGGAGGACAACTTGAAGAGACTCAGGAGGGAGAAGGAGGTGAATCCTCGTCCCCTGGTACGAGCAGGAGCATGTCTGATGCTGCTGCAGGAGTTGAAGGTCAAGATAGCAGCGTCTCGCAAAGAGTTTTCAGCATGAGTTTTCATTCAATAATACACCTGTCTTCAATTTTGTTTCTTCTCGTCCGAGTAACTTCTTTGCGCTCTCCTCATCGCTCGCTCCTCTGCTAATCGTTTCGCCTCCAAGAACGTGATGCCTCCTACTGGTTTGAAGTCGTTGTCTGCGATGATTTCACTTTGAGCGTCAGAACATTAACTGCAGTACCGTAGAATGTCGGAGCGAATACAAAGGCCAAGCCCACAAGTGCTAGATACGTGAGGCTTCCAACTTTCAGGTGATAGTAGACTTCAAAATATTTCACAAACGAGAACTGTAGGAGGAAACACGTAAGGATTTTGATCAAAAAGGTTTTGATGAGCATCTTCTTATACAAATCCCATACATCAATACATCTCTACTCTGCAACCTTCAATATGTCATGAAGATCGAATCGATCACTGACCTCGACAACTACAACATTCATTTCCTATTGCTACTGCAACTCCTCCTGTCTCTCTAGTCCATCTCTCCTTTTAGCATAACTACTCCCTCCTCAGCCCCTCCAACCCTCATTACTGAACCTGCTCCTTCTCTTCTGCTTCAAGAATACCAACCTCTACCCTCCTGACGCTGCAGCTCCTTTCCTGCCACTCTTACCTTGATCTCTCTCCTCTGCAAGCCAACATCCTTCCAACCAACCCTGTCATCGTTCCCCACTTCCCTCATTCCCCTCCCCCCTCGGCTGCTGATCCTGTTCCTGCTCCTGATCGTGATCCTGCTCCTGATCGTGATCCTTCTCTTGGAATCCTCTCAATTTCCCCTCAGTCTCATCCTGCACCAATTATTTCTGTGCTGGTCCTTTGCTCCTATTCCCTCCCAAGGTGTCAACTCATCGTTTTGGTCGCTTCTCTCCACTCTCATCTCTCATCTCTAATCCCCAACATCCTCTCCTCCCCTTCCTCTTCCTGTTGTGTTGCCATTAGATATCAATGATCACATGATATCCTCCCCTCCTCCTCCCCTCTTACATCCTTCTGCTTCTTCATGATCCGCATCCTCCTCCTCCCTCTCCCTCTCCTCCTCCCTCCCTCCTCCCTTCCTCCCTCTCAATCTCCTCCTCCATTCCATCCTCCTCCCCCATCTCCATCTTCTCCTCCATTCCATCCTCCTCCCCCATCTCCATCTTCTCCTCCATTCCATCCTCCTCCCCCATCTCCATCTTCTCCTCCATTCCATCCTCCTCCTCCTCCTCCTCCCTCCTCCCTTACCTCAAAGATGCTGATCACTATGAACATTTTCCACCATCTTGGAAGCATCGCGAACAAACTTTCCGGATAACCACCTCCACCCCCCTTTCCTCGGTCATACACACCCCTACACCACCGTCCTCATATCACCCCCCACCATTTACCCCCACCCTGAGCATCGCCATAAGCATTGGGTTACCACCCCATAGAAGCTCCAGTAACCCATTGTAGTGTATGGGTGGGTATACCTACCTACCCACCCTCATTCGATGACCATTTGCTCCGTACTGCCTGGCGGTCTGGACCCCCTTTTTTAACCGGACAGGGTGGAGGGGTACCTCCATTCCCGAAGCGGCAATGCTCGCAGCGCTTCCTCTGCTCCTCTGCTCCTCCTTCCCGCCCGCCTCCTCCTCCTCCTCTCCCTTCCTCTCCTCCTACCCCTTTCCTTCCACCTCCTTCCTCGCGTCTCTCCCTCCTGCAGGAGCTCAGCTCTGGGAGCCGCATGGAGGTGCGATGCTCTATGGCGAGTTGCCTGAGCCAGGGCCGGAGTGGTACAACAATGCTTCTGCTTCTCACAACAGCGTCGGCGACAATGCTGGAGGCTCAACTGCTCCTGCTCCTCCTTCGCACTTCTACGCCCGCAGGCCATAAGCTTGTGCAGAAGCATGAGAGGGAGCTGAGGGGAGTGTAGGGTTTTGCTGTTTGGTCGTTTGGATGCAGTACATTAGCAAGGGGCTGGACTCCGCGAGCAGTCGCCTCCTCTACCATCGTGAGATTGAGTTCACGTTAGTGTACTGAGACATGTTGTAGTAAAATAGTTTGTGCCATCTTTGTGCAGCCGAGATTTCGGTCAGTGTTTTCTTTGCATTCTGCGAAGGGACAGAACGTGAAGGAGCAGGCAGTGAGATCGAACTCCTCGGATTCTGTCCTTGTTCGTCATAGAAGCCATGCTGCCGGCTGTGCCGTCAACTTTCGCTTCGATTCGGCTGCTGGAATGGTGAGAGAGGACTTAGCCGCTTCCTCTCGCACCTGACTCACACTCCAAGCGGTACAACCTGCACTCTTGTATTCAGAAACACGGAGAGAGAGACTGAGACTGAGGAACAGAGACGGAGAGACAGGGAGAGCAGAAGATGAGAGACAGGAAGGGAAGTGGGGAGGAGGGCGAAGATCAACCGTTTGATTCCAAGGTCTCGCTTGGAGCTCCCCTTGTATCTAGCTTCCAGAACTTCTTGGGTTGGAACCTGCGAGGAAGACAGTGAGCTAGAAGAGGCAGCGAGAACAAGTTTCACCTTGATGTCCCACACGACTCCGAGTTTGCCGAGGATGAGAAGACCAAAGTACACCCAGTCGAACTCCCACCACATGAAACCATGCTTGGCGCTTCCCATGAAGGCTGGGAAAGGCGGAAACCTCTTAGAGAGGGATTATGTTCAAGTCAACATGTTATCTACCGTGATGATTGTTGTGCCATCCCTCGCCGCCGTTGAAGATCGCAACCCACCTGAGCATGCCTCAGCTGCCCGCTTGTTGTCGGCATCTCACCAGTTGTTAGTAGCCTTGCATTCACTTTGGAACTGAAGGCACGTCAGGAGACCTCATCTGACGGACAGGGAGAGCAAGCATACTTGAGCGACATATGGTCGATAACCCCAAAGGTGGGCAGCAGAATTGGTCAACCTGATTGCATGGAAATGCAGAACCTGGATGGATGTCAGACAGGCCATTCTGACAGCAGGAGAACGAGGGACATTTGGCACGAGGCAACCCCAGAAGAACACATCCTTGCCGCATAGCAACCAGAAGAGATGCTCGCACGCCTTGATTTCCAACTGCAATCAAATCGGCGATCAGTGGAAGCGAAGAGAGAGAGAGCTGGCATACTTGTCTGTTCCTCAACCACACTAGATCATTCAAGTATCGGAATCTGGAAAGGGGAGGGATTAGACTCTGAAGGTGAGGAGGAGGAGAAAATTTGACTGACTGGAGCAGGTCAGTGCGAAAGAGACGCTCGAGGCCCTGCAGATGTGTGAGCGAGCGAGTGACGAAAGCAAGGTCAACCTCTTGAGTGGTGACAAGATTTGCACTGGAATCCTGAAGCTGCACAGCCCAGAACCTGACGAGAGACAGAAAGACAGAAAGACAGAAAGACAGAAAGACAGAAAGACAGAAAGACAGAAACATAGTAAGCTTCTCGACAACACGCGATAAAATCGCCTCACCCCATCCTCCAGGGCGTGTGAATGTCATCCTCAGTCTCGCAGGCTGGTGACAGGACGAGCATTCAGCGCCAGCGCTGCTGGGGGTCGCAAACCTTGATGGTGAAACTCGTGGAAGTTGATCCAGTAGACGATGTTCTCGTTCGATGCCGATACCTGCCACACTCAACGGTCACGGGCCAACAGCAGACGTCGAGCGATACCTGGACCGTCATGGCAAGCAACAGCTCGAAGAGCTTGGTCGTCTTGAACGACATGTGCGCGAAGTATCTGTGCCCTGACGTGGCGAGACATGAGGAGACGTAGAGCTTCTTGGCCCTCCTCACCGCCTGCATGAGATGCGAAAACTCGCCAGCCGTAGGACGCCACGGATCCAAGAATCAGCCACTTTGAGACCTGTTGGTGGAGAAGCAATGGAGTGTAAGAAGAAGCTCCGAACAAAGAAAGCAAAAAGACTTAGCAGGAGAAAGGATATGATGAATGATGAATGATGAATGATGAATGATGAATGATGAATGATGAATGAGAGATGAGAGATAAGAGATGAGAGATGAGAGATGAGAGATGAGAGATGAGAGATGAGAGATGAGAGATAAGAGATGAGAGATAAGAGATGAGAGATGAGAGATGAGAGATGAGAGATGAGAGATGAGAGATGAGAGATGAGAGATGAGAGATGAGAGATGAGAGATGAGAGATAAGAGATGAGAGATAAGAGATGAGAGATAAGAGATGAGAGATAAGAGATAAGAGATGAGAGATGAGAGATGAGAGATGAGAGATGAGAGATAAGAGATGAGAGATGAGAGATGAGAGATGAGAGATGAGAGATGAGAGATGAGAGATGAGAGATGAGAGATGAGAGATGAGAGATGAGAGATGGGAGATGGGAGATGGATAATCAAACCTTAGGTGCATGCTTCGATCCCTTCACTATCAGTGTGCCCCCCACAAGAACAGCAGCATGCTTCGTCCAGGTGCTGCAGGAGCTTGTCATGCGGCTGTAGCAGGGAGAGTGCGAGTCACCTGAAGAGCAATCGCATGCTTCTTATGAACGTCTCTGTCAGCATGTCCATCTGCATCACCGCCGTCACTTCCTTGCTACCCGAACTGCCGTATCACCTCAGATCCATCCCAACGGAGCAGCCGCGACATTTCTTGTTCTCGTTTCAGGGAGCCTGCCATTGACAAGCATCAGCCGCTGCCCCTCGCTCCTCCTTCAGCCTCATCAGGAGCACGAGCGAACGCGCCCTCCCCTGCCTCGTCTTCCCCTCCCGCACAAGAACTTGTCTGCCCTGCTGCCCTACGCGAGATCGTGGGACAAGAGACGCGTGGGGGATGCGAGAAGGATGCAGGCAAGCAGGTCAAGGAGGAGGCAAGAGGAGAGCGGAGAGCGGGAGGGAGGGGGAGAGCAGGGGGGGGGAAGCAGGGGTATGAGGCGCAAGGGGCATGGGAGTTTTATAGGCCACAAAGGGGGCAGGCAGGGGGAGGTAAAATGAGGTAGGAGAGGGGAGGGAGGGGGAGAGGGAGAGGGGAGGGGAGGGAGAGGGAGAGGGAGAGGGAGAGGGAGAGGGAGAGGGAGAGGAAGGTGAATGGGAAGGAAGGGGCAGATAGAGGGAGAGAAGGAGAGGAGTGAAGCAACGTGATGAAGTTGAGTGGCAAGAGAAATATAGATACGCTAACAAGGTTGACAC